ACTCTTAATGTGTTGCTATGGATTACTCTTCAAAATACTGTTAATTAAAGAAGAGCAAGGTGATGAACCATGCGTGCTGTAGTATATAGTCGAGCGTGTTCATGTTTGTTTGCTTAGAGCTAAAGATAGACGCATACCAAATGTAAGGCCAGACACTATCAAACCCTTAGAGGAAAACATAGGCGGAACACTCTATGACATAAATCACAGCAGGATCCTTTTTGACCCACCTCCTAGAGAAATGGAAATAAAAACAAAAATAAACAAATGGGACCTAATGAAACTTCAAAGCTTTTGCACAGCAAAGGAAACCATAAACAAGACAAAAAGACAACCCTCAGAATGGGAGAAAATATTTGCAAACAAAGCAACTGACAAAGGATTAATCTCTAAAATATACAAGCAGCTCATGCAGCTCAATATCAAAAAAACAAACAACCCAATCCAAAAATGGGCAGAAGACCTAAATAGATTTTTCTCCAAAGAAGAGACACAGGTTGCCAATAAACACATGAAAAGATGCTCAACATCACTAATCATTAGAGAAATGAAAATCAAAACTACAACGAGGTATCACCTCACACCAGTCAGAATGGCCATCATCAAAAAATCTACAAACAATAAATACTGGAGAGGGTGTGGAGAAAAGGGAACCCTTTTGCACTATTGGTGGGAATGTAAATTGATACAGCTACTATGGAGAACAGTATGGAGGTTCCTTAAAAAATTAAAAATAGGGCTTCCCTGGTGGCGCAGTGGTTGAGAGTCCGCCTGTCGATGCAGGGGACACGGGTTCGTGCCCCGGTCTGGGAAGATCCCACATGCCGCGGAGCAGCTGGGTCCCTGAGCCATGCGCGTCCAGAGCCTGTGCTCCGCAACGGGAGAGGCCACAACAGTGAGAGGGCCCACATACCGCAAAAAAAAAAAAAAAAAAATTAAAAATAGAACTACCATATGACCCAGCAATCCCACTGCTAGGCATATACCCTGAGAAAACCATAATTCAAAAAGAGACATGTACCACAATGTTCATGGCAGCACTATTTACAATAGCCAGGACGTGGAAGCAACCTAAGTGTCTATCGACAGGTGAATGGATAAAGAAGATGTGGCACATATATACAATAGAATATTACTCAGCCATACAAAGAAGCGAAATTGAGTTATTTGTAGTGAGGTGGATGGACCTAGAGTTGTCATACAAAGTGAAGTAAATCAGAAAGAGAAAAACAAATACCGTATGCTAACACATATATATGGAATCTAAAAAAAAAAAATGGTTCTGATGAACCTAGGGGCAGGACAGGAATAAAGATGCAGACGTAGAGAATGGACTTGAGGACACGGGGAGAGGAAGGATAAGCTGGGGTGAGGTGAGAGTGGCATGGACATATATACACTACCAAATGTAAAATAGATAGCTAGTGGGAAGCAGCCGCATAGCACAGGGCGGTCAGCTTGGTGCTTTGTGACCACCTAGAGGGGTGGGATAGGGAGGGTGGGAGTCAGACGCAAGAGGGAAGGGGTATGGGGATATATGTATACGTATAGCTGATTAACTTTGTTATACAGCAGAAACTAACACAACATTGTAAAGCAATTTTACTCTAATAAAGATGTTAAAAAAATAAAAATAGAAGCGTAAACTAAAAACCAACCCAAATGGTTGAAAAATTAGGATAGAGAGGACAGGTCTAGAAGTTAGATTTCTCTTCTTTTGTCCTATGGTTTTCATTTTGGAATTCTGTAGATATTTAATCTAAGTTTAAAACAACAATTAAAAGCAAAATGAAACAAATGAACATTATTGTATAATTGACTTGTGGCTTACCCACACAGAGGATTATTTCAAGAGCTCTTAAAACAGAGTAATTTTTAACTGTTCATCCTAGTGGCATATACACAAAGGTTAAAAAGAACCACAATGTAATCTAAGCAGTTTTCAATAATCATATTTTTAGTAATAATATGTGCATTGTAAATTTGAAAATATACATTTAAAGGAAGTAAGAAATTATATTAATGTAATAGAAAGAAGAAAAGTAGGCAGAAGAAAAATTTAAATGCAAAATAAATTCAAGGCAGTTAAGTTAAATTTCTATAATCCTAAATTGGAAGTAACAATATTAATATGAATTTGTGATATTACTTCTCCTTCAAAACAAATAAAAATATGTAGAAACAATGACCAATACAATAGTAATGAAAACACCCAGTGTCCACATTTTGTTCTCTAAATAAATTTCCTGCTTAGAAAGAACCAAGTCTTCTTAAAGAAATGTCTGGTTCTAAGTCAGGGTACAGGAAACATACAAAATAAGGTTGGTACATCTAGTCCTGCTCCGAAACAAGAAATCTACGAGAGACTATTGGGTTTGTGGCAAAAGGATATAGGAGAAACTTGAAGAGGCTCCCAGTTGTCAAAGATGGAATATTTTGTTCAAAAAGTATAATTACAATAGTAGATTGAAACATATCAACTATGTTTAAATCTATGTGTTGATATGATACTTTAAAAAAGCCCCAAACCACCTACCTGATCATATGTGGGAGATGATAAACAACTCATTATTTTGAAAATTAGAACATTAGTAAGTAAACAAAAAGAATAAATAATTTATCCTGATTTTTTGTTCAAATAATTATCACAGGGTACTCAAAAAGTTGATCTGGAAAACTGCTTCTTTCAGGAGAGTACCAGCTAATACATGCAAAATGTAGGATAGAATTAGCATACCACTAGTTTGTAACCCCTAACAAATTCTAGACTAAGCATAACCATCAACAGGTACTAAACCCATTAGCTAAAATGGGGAAGTCTAACATTAAGAGCTTCTCAAACTTTACTGTGCATATAAACCACTTGAGGATATTAAATTCTAGAACCTGATTCAGTAGTTCTGGAGTTGAGCCTGAGATTCTGCATTTAAAACAAGCTACCACATGGTGCCAATACTGCTGGTCAGAGGGCCATTCTAAGAAAGAGAAGAGCAGCCCCTAGTATCCGGGAGCTGGCCTGGTACTATCAGCTGGGCTTTGTTGTTCTCTTGTTGAATGTAAACAATTTCACAGAAAACATCAGACAGGTTTACTCTGTGACCATGATGGATCAAGACAAAAACAAGCCTACTGTGTAATCACATCTAAACACAAAAAATGAACACTGTCCAAACCACAACATCCCTATCTTGGCTATTATAAGTGGCGCTGCTTCTTTACAAATTGTAGCCTTAGGCTCTATTCAGTCTTTCCTCCTGCCCGATAAGACTTACTAAAATGCCCAATCCCTCATGCTTTCTGACAGCATCTAATCCAGAGCAAAGCCCCAATTCCTTAAGCCTTCCCTAAAATCACCAAGCATAAGCCCAAGTCCTATAACAAGTCCTTTCTAACACTCTCTGAGATGTCCCATGGTTCCTCTGGTGAGCATTCTCTTCATTACAACATGTAATAAACACATCTTGTTCAACTACAGGTGTGTTCTGGTGGTCTTTGCAGGAGTAGCAATTCAGTAGTGTGATGGATCAGGCTGACAGGTGAGTCACTAAACAGTATGTGCTTCCTGATGTGATGCTATAGAGATTCATAGCAAGCAAGTAATCTCTTTTTTTTTTTTTTTGTGGTACGCGGGCCTCTTACTGTTGTGGCCTCTCCCGTTGAGCAGCACAGGCTCCAGACGCGCAGGCTCAGCGGCCATGGCTCACGGGCCCAGCTGCCCCGCAGCATGTGGGATCTTCCCGGGCCAGGGCACGAACCCGCGTACCCTGCATCGGCAGGCGGACTCTCAACCACTGCGCCACCAGGGAAGCCCCAAGCAAGTAATCTTGCCAAAAAAGATGAACGCTGATCTGATTAAACCTCTAGATTTAACCATCAGTTTACAAGAAATACAGAAGTTAGAGGAACATTTTAAGCAACCATATTTAATTCAACCATGAGACAATTTGCCTTTTTTTTCCAACAAATAAGTGACAAGAAAAATAGAAGATGGAAGGGGAACATATAGATGAAAAGAAACTCAATAGTCATATCCACCAATTGTAATGTGTAGCCCTTATTTGGGTCCTAATTTGTACAAACTACTACACAAACTAATAATGATAATGACAAAAAGACAATTGGGGCTATTTGAACAGAGCCTAGCTCTCTGATAATATTAAAAAAGATTATTAATATTTTTAGGTTTCATTATGACAATGGTCATTTTTCAAAACATTTACAAATAAAATGATATGCTGTCTAGGATTTGCTTTAACATAATTCAGTCATAGTGAGAAGGAGTGTAGAAGGGTATACATAAAAACATTGGCCATATTTGATAATCATCATAATTTGCTAATTTTAAGGGTATATGACAATTCTTTTTATTATTCTCCCTATGTTTAATATGTTTAAAACGTTACATAGTAAACAATTTTAAAAATTATTTTTTACCATTTAATTCAATAGATCTTTTTTTTTTTTTTTTTTTTTTTTTTCTGTACGCAGGCCTCTCACTGTTGTGGCCTCCCCCGCTGCGGAGCACCAGGCTCCGGACGCGCAGGCTCAGCAGCCATGGCTCACGGGCCCAGCCGCTCCGCGGCATGTGGGATCTTCCCGGACCTGGGCACGAACCCGTGTCCCCTGCATGGCAGGCGGACTCTCAACCACTGCACCACCAGGGAAGCCCCAATAGAGCATTTTTGAAAGAAGAAAGTTAAATAGAGAGAAATTAAGGACCACAGCTCAAAATGGCTACATATTCTACAGAAATAAACAGTAATGAATTTTAAAGAGTCTTTCCCATTACTGAAATTGCTTTCAGAACTATTTTTTGAGAGGTGTTAGAATATTCACCTGTTTCTTTTCTCTTTTTTTGTAATCACTAACAGATATGTCAACTGCAAGTGAAAAGGAATAAGGAATATTATTATGTAGACTCGGGTGATGGTCATCAGAGAAAAATTCAATTTAAATGTTTGAGTCTTAGAAAGAAGGCAACATATCATTTGGGCAATTACCTGGATCTGTAGCAGACATCAGTGAACCAAAAAACAAACAGTCAGTGAAATGAAAGTCTCCATTTTTCAGCTGGTCAGCATATACCATGGCCTTCACAAAGCCATACATAATTAACCTGTTGAAGAGAAAAATATGATCTTCAAACATCAACATAGCTGACATTCTAATGGGCTTCCTGAATAAGTATGAGGCACAAATTACCACTATTCTGCCTATTTGTAGCCATGCTAGTTCTCAGTACACTGTACCAAATATCACAGTTTATTCACCTGGCAAAAGGTAAAAGAACATTTTATAGTGTACTTCAGTGAAAACAAATCTCAAGGATATAAAAAATAATCTGTGAAATATGGCATAGCAAATCATACCCACAAATATAGTGGCTGGGTTGACATCTGTAAATGGATTGCTTTTCAGTTTTACTGTTTTGTCTGCTAGGGTGTCTGCAAAGGGTTCAAGTTTAAAGTCTGTCACTGTGATGAGAAGGATACTGGCCACTCACAAGGCACTCAGTCAACCAGTTACTTTACAATAGATGAGTCTCTACTACTGGTGGTGTCAGGACACTTCCACACCAGGTAGAGAAAACACTGTTAGGTTTAGAGCACCTGTAACTTCAACACACAGTTGAAAATGAATCTTGAAATGGTTACATTTTGATCTTGCAAAGAAAGCCATTCTTTTCATGAGATTATGTTTACCAAACCCATGGAATGCAAATTATCTGTTTTGGTCATCATTTGCCACCCTATAGCTTTTAAATTGTATTTAATTAACTGATTTTTCTAAATCCTAGTGGAGGAAAAACAAAAATTGGTGAACTGGACCACGGTAGAATCACAGAAAGTGACTGTAAGAGTCCTTAGAAACCACTGACTCTCAGACCAATAGACTGTTGCTTAGATATTCACATGTTTTTAAATTAGTTTCTTGAAAAATGTTGTAGGGTTGTGAGCATGACTAAAAAGACTAGAAATCAGATATTCGAAATTTTAATGACAATGAGAATGTGGATATTTCAAATTCTCTTATGAAAAATTTCTCTATGAGAGAATATTTCAGACACACATGCATTTAAATCCAGTTTCTACCACTTACTAGTTATGTGATTTTAGGGCATTACTAAAACCTTCTGAGGTAGGGAAAAGAATTATGGTTAGTCTACAGAGCTGCTTTAAGGATTATCTGAGGTAATATAAATATGGGTTTTGACACATAGTAAATTCTCAATGAGATTATGACTGCTAATAGTAATTATCAAAATAGGTAATATTCACTTTCTATATCTATTTCTTCACATGTTTTAACTCATTTCATCCACACATTGATCCTACAAGGTAGGTACTAATTGCATTTTACAGATGAGAAAACTGAATACTGTGTGATCAAGTAACTTGCTCAAGGTGACACAGCTATTAAATTGTGGAACCCAGACTTGAACTGAGAAATTTGACTCCAGATCCCGGGCTTTTAATTCCTACATCATATTGCCTACATGAACAGTTCCATATTGTACATTATATGTTACCTCATACAGTATACTCTTAACTAGTCCATAAGGTGGTTGTTCTATATAGGACAAAGGTGCAGCAACGGAGTATCCCCAAGAACTTGGAGATACTACTACCCATGAGTTGAACTATTAAGACAACCACATGGGTTCGAGCAGAGACCCAATATTGCTGTGAAGTGTGTGGATTCTAGCAGGGGAGGCTGAAGCTTAACTAGGCTGCAAGTGTTAACATATCTGAGAAAGCCTGTGTCATGTGACACAGCAATTGTTTCTGGGAAGAGGCCTCAATCATGGCAGCTCACCTACACTTATCTTGGGGAGGGCATTCTGCTGGTTATCAGGGTATGCAGCCTCTGGACAGGTTAAGAGTAGAGTCATTCAGCTTGTTCATTCAATAGATATTTATTACTGAACCCCTACTATTGTCAGGCTCTGTGCTAGGTGTTTAGAATACATCAGTGAACAAGACAAAGATCCCTGTCCTTATGGAGCATGTCGTTTATAGCAAGGCAGATGGCAATAAATATAATCATAGATTTTAATTATATATGTTATCCGCATCACCCTCTGAATTAGAATCTGCATGTCTGATGAACACTGAGACTTTCTGGACAGTCACAACATTACCAGGGAAATGCTCTCCGAGAGTCATCCCTTCAGCCTCACCTGGTGTTAACCTGACTTCACCACAGGTCTTTCTCATTTGAGCTACACTTCCAATATGGAGCATGGATAGGCTCTGGAATCAGTATCAACTTTATGACCTATGACTATATTTCTGAATTCTATACCCATTAGTTAATTTTACAAGTTAGGAATCTGAGCCTCAGAATTAAAATGACTTGCCCCATATTGCCCTACAGAAGCCATTAGATTGGGTAAGATAAAAAAAATATATGCATGCATATATATTACCCAGGCTTGGGAAGATTACTTGGAAACTAGAAACCTCATGTACTATTGATGAAAATAAAATTAAAGTCTTTATAAAAGCCAATTTGACAATTTATTTTAAAAGTATTAAATTTTTTATATACTGTAGCTTATTAAATGATTTTCTATAAATTTTTGCCAAGAAATTAATCTGAATACACACCAGAAGTTATTTAGTTTATTTCAGATTATTACTATTCATGAGTGAAAAATTCAAAGCAATCTAAATGTCCAGTGAATAAATTACAGAACACACATATAACGAACTAATATGCAACTATTAATACTATATACAAGAGTGTATATTAGGCATAGAAAAGTAAATTGATAAAGCAAATTATAAAGTGGTAATATATAATAATTTCTAATTTTATAAAAATTGAATATATTTAAGCACACATATAAACAGAAAAAGGTCAGAAGCATATAGTCTGGGATGTTAATAGTGGTTATAAAATGACATGTGACTATTTTCTTTTTTCCTATTCTGCATTTTTCACTTCTTTCTAAATAACAGTCATAATAAAAAAATAACAATGTACATTAGTGAGTGCTATTATGTGACATGACATTCATTATGTCATTTAATCTTCATAATACTTGAGTTAGGTACTATACTTATTCCTTTTTACAAAGGTGAAAATCAGGATTCAGAGAGGTTAAGTAAGTTGCCTAAGGTCACAGAAGTTAGCTTGTGACAGAGCTGGATTTGAACCCAGGCAGTTGGATGCCAGAACCTGCATACACAACCACCATTCTATAGAGATTCGGAATTGTTTTGAAATCAAGAGAAACACATGTGCATGTACACACACACACACACGCATGCACACACATATACACATACCTCTATACACACAGTTTGTTTTTTTAAAAAAAGAAAGTAAATGATTTGTTTACTCCAAATCAACCCCTGGACACAAAATAACTATAATTCCAATATCTTCCTTGAGATAATACCTTAAAAAGCAAGAAAAACAGAAAAAGCCCAGTGCAGTATGAGCTCAGTATGATCATTTTGTTATTATTACCAATAACAATGGTCATTGTCACTGATAATTATAATGTCAATAATTAGTGTGTATCTATTATGTGCCAGGCACTTTTTTTTAATAACTAGCTATTGTTATTGTTGCTACATTATTGTAACTAACTAATTATAACTGTATTAACTGGGAGGATAAATAAATGAACCCATTAGCAACCACCACATTCTCACAGGGTGGTGTGTTCTATCAGCACTTCACAGAAACTATTTCAGATGGCTCAGGATACAGGAAAGATGTGGTCTGATTGGGAGAGGGAAGCCGGTGAATTCCAGTGCACGCAATGCTGTGAAGATGGTGGACCCAAGTGAGATGTCCTTCTGGGGTCAGCCTGTGCTTAGGGACAGCCCAGGTCACAGGGATGGGCAGAAGCAGAACTGCCATATAAAAAGCAAAATTGCTGATAACATTGATCTCAACAAATATCCACTTAGTGCTATTCTTTAAAAAGCAGAGTGCTTATGCTACAGAGGATACAAAGGCGCAAATCCATGACCCGTCTTCAAAGAGTAGAGTTTCACAGGATGGCAGTCATGTCACTTATAGAAGGCATTGGGTAAAAGAGAATTTGAAGAAATGTCCTACACAATGCTCCACATACTCACTTTATTGAGTGTTTGTGACACACGTACTGATTTTAAATTTCATGAGCTTGTTTCACACTATTAAAGTTCCACACCTAAAGGCATGTTGCAAAAATGTTTCAAAACAAAAAGTTCCAGAAGGCTCAATTGCTTGGATGATTTTTAAGTATGCCATCTTAGTCCCTCTCAGTATTTTTTAAAAAGAATACATCTTTTTTAAAAATAGTCTTGATCAAGCTATGAATAGATCTACTGGAAAAGGCAGTTTTTTTGAATTGCTAGAGATACGCAAGGGGAATTGCTGTCAGTTTGGAAACAGCTGTGTGGACCAGGCCTGTTAACTGTCAGAAGAGCCACATTCCTGCCTGTGAAAGCTTGTGAAACAGACCATTACATGGACCTCACTCTGCAGTGGGAAAGCCCAGCACCAACAGGCTCTGATAGCAAAACAAAGATTATAATCTGCACCTAAATTTCTGATTTCTATACTCAAACATTTCCTCTGGATAAGCATCTTTATTTATTTGTTGACATTTTATGGATAGTTTCAATCTCACAGTTTCTCTTTTTTTCTGGGGCATGCATTCAAGAGCAATACCCCACTAGAGAAGTCATAAATTCTTTTTTTTTTTTTTTGGCGGTACGCGGGCCTCTCACTGCTGCGGCCCCTCCCGTCGCGGAGCACAGGCTCTGGACGCGCAGGCCCAGCGGCCATGGCTCATGTGCCCAGCCGCTCCCCAGCATGCGGGATCCTCCTGGACAGGGGCACGAACCCGCGTCCCCTGCATCGGCAGGCGGACTCCCAACCACTGCACCACCAGGGAAGCCCCATAAATTCTTTTTCTTTACAGCTTTACTGAGATACAATTCACATATAACATTGTGTCAGTTTAAGGTATACAATATGATGATTTGATATATGTATGTATTGCAAAATGATTACCACAATAAGGTTAGTTAGCATATCCATCACCCCACAGTTATAATATTTTTGTATGTGGCGAGAACTTTTAAGACCTACTCTCTTAGCAACTTTCAA